AATAAAAAAAAAAAAAAAAAAAAGCTGTTGCAGAGACTAAAGTAACTGGGTACAAAGACCAGTCTCTCTGGCAAGACCCCAAGGACTATGAAGAGGCAGAGCTCATGGGAGGTGCCTGATCCGGTCTGCTGCCCCATGGTTACTTGCCCAAAGCCAATGTCAATACAATTCGGAAGTCTCTAGAGCAAAATGGGTCATGCATGCCTGCCCAGAGAGAGCCCTACCTGCCCAAGAAGGTCCACACCTGCCAGGGAGGGCCGTACCTGCCCCAGAGCATGCTGCAACAGTGTCGGGTGCCCAACAAACCGCACATTATCGATCTTCAGTTCAAATTTTTGGCCACACATCTCAGACTTGGTTGCCAAAATTGTTGCCAGAATAGCATCTGAAAACCTTCAAATGAAAAAAAGGATGAAAATAAGTTAACAAATATCACTGTACCACTCCCCAGTACCTTCAGAGGGGAAGGTCTCAGATAAATGGCAGATCTGTGACTCTGCCCCCAGCACTGATGGACATTTCTGAGGACTCCAGAAATGTGGCGCTCTTGCAGCAACCCCAAGGTTAAGGATGTAAAAATCACCAGAATTATAGTAAAAGGCATGAGAAGCACAGGCTGAAGGCACATGCTGTCATTGTTGCATGCTCAATGAAATTAGGAAAGAAACAGCTGCAGTTTGCATTTAAAAGGAGGATTTGCTGGAGCTGGCAGTGCCCTGAGAAGCCACTCATTAAGGCTCACAGGCAGAGGGGCCTCTCCTAACTGTACTTGCGTTTGTTAGACTATACCCTGTCCATCACACAGCCTCTCCCCAACAGTGCCACATAAAGGACCAGAGGATAGCACTCAGATGAGGGCAGAGTGCTAACTCCCTTCCTCAGTGTAGCTGCCAGCCCTTCCCTTACCCTGAACAACTAACCTTTCCAGTTTGTATTAAGAAAGGAACTCTCTAAGACATGTAGACCCACTGTGTTACACAAGTGCAGGGATGCTGAAAACTGACTACCATTAGGAAGTGGAACACCTAGGTATGGGTGAGACCTCACTCTTTCCAAGACGCATCTGCACATTTGCCTCCCTACTGGCAACCCAGATCCCTCCTGCCTGGGGGATCCAGATAAGGGAGAACCACCTGCAGGGAGGAGCATACTAGCATGTGGCTGCCTCTTATCTCAGAGCCCAGGGCTGAAGCCCTCTCCTCCAGAAAAAGCACAGGTAAATTGGACACACAGTTTCTGATCTGGACCCAGCACAGAGAGAACCCCCACTCATCTAGCCACCAGGAAAGCATTCCTAATATCTGGCAGCTCCAGCTTCCCCAGGGCCATACTGTGCTCATGGGCAGAAAGAACCCCCCCAGTCCTGAAAGAGACCACTGGGGACAGATATTCCAATGTTCATTCTTGGTCATGCTTCTCTCCTAGAGGCATTCGTGGTGGGGAGAGATGGAGACTAACAACGTAACTCCTCCATTTTATGATGAAAAAGGAAGGCCAGCTTCAACTTTGTAATGGCAAATAACTCTGGGATAAAACACATCTAGGAGGGGCTATTTAGTTCAGGAAATCCTGAGCCCCCAAACAAATCAGAGGCAGAGGGCTGGTCAGAGCTGGCTGCCTTGGTGCTTGCAGTCAGACTATAGTCTAACCTTCCCCAACTGATCTCATCAGACACATCTGGGACATGTGGGACCAAGCTGAGTCCTTCGTTCTCCTTTCCTAAATACTCATCTCCAAAGTGTAAAGCAGACAGAGAGGATTCCAGCGCCTCAGACCGAAGGCATCACAGGTCTTCTTCATAAACTATACATGGCTCAGTTTGCCCTGTGAGTCCTGCCTAAGGGACACAGAGATGTGGAAAGAGGTTCCAGGCAGTAAAACTTTACCAAACACTCCCGTTCTAGCAACTGACCCAGTGCAACAGTTCATGTCTCATTTAAAAAACAAAACAAAATAAAATACCCTCCACTCTCCACCCAGTGATTCAGGACAGAGACAGTAGGCAAAAAATCTCTACCGCTCCAGAAGCTCACTTGCTGTGCTAGCCAAAAAACAGCTGCTGTGTCTTGAAGACTCACAGACACCTCACCCTTGGGCACCAATTCAGGGACCCAAGTTACTACGGCTATGGGATGGGTCCTGGGAGTTTCTGAGCAAGCACTGGAAGCCCAGCTTACATCTATAAATGCCCAAATTCCACTGTGCCCCTGTGACAGTCAAATAAAAAGCTTTTTTTTTTCCTCCCTAAAGACTAGAGTCCAAAGAGTGAATAAACTGAAAAGTCGAGTACTGTTAAAGTTAAAAGTTACACTGCCTTAACTGGTCATCCAGGGAGGTCATTCTGGGGTAGCCAGCATGGTGGAGCTGGTCACTCAGTTTACTGAGCAAATCTGCCTCATAAAGGAATCCACTTGCACAGTTCAATATTATACATGTATGATGAAAACACTTGTGTATCTTTATAATTTACACAGTATCTATTGACATGATACACAAAAGACACCGTTATATCATGAAACTGGGGGAGGGGAATAACGTACTCATAACAAATCAAACTGTAAACAGGTGACAATATTATTTGTTGCTTCTAAAATTTACAAAACCCCCCCCCATTTTTTTTTGAGGCAAGGTCTCACTTTGTAGTTCAGGCTAGCCCTGGCTTACTATGTAGCCCATGCTGGCCTCAAATTTGTAGCAATCCTCCTGCTTCAGCCTCCCAAATGCTGGGATTACAAGTGTGCACCACCATGCCCAGCTCTACAAAATCTTTTTGATAGTGAAAGTCTGGTAAATATACTGTAACACAATAAAACAGATGTTACAAAAACTAAAGATTTCTGGACTAATTTAGAAGTTCAAGAAAAGCACAGAGAAATGTAACAGCCCAGCTGGAAAACAGGCCAGAGCTTCTATTCTTGCTAAGATATTCTGGAGTAGGGCTTCTTCTCTAACTTAGCCAAAACAAGGAAGGAAGACAAGAGTCTGCAAGAGAACTTGATGCTGTTTCCCGTACCAACCTTCTCCCAGGGAGCTCATGAGTGCTGTTGTGCCTCCAAGGCCCAAAGGGGATGCACTAGGGTGGATGTGGGGTCCCACCTCATCCATGCTTTCCACATCTACTCCAGAACATTTTCGCCACTAGTGGGCATACCCAACTCACCTAAGCCAAGCATCACATTGAAAACCCAAACCTTGGGAAAGATCCCCACCAAATGCCTTTGAAAACTGAACACGGAACCTCCATCACAGGTCTCGGTGTGGCGGTGGGAAGGAGATGAGCAACCCCATTCCTGCTTTCTTACCACCCCCATAACTACTGGCTCTGACTTAGGAGGAGGAAATTTACATGGAATACTTGACCCAGAACTCTCTCTGGAGCTGGCCAATGGAGCCTTGGCCTCTTGGGTACTGTGAAACAGCTAAATAACTCTGGGTGGAGAAAGGGCAAGGACCACGGGCAAGTCTGCATTCTTCTAAGGGGACTGCGGCAGTGAGGTCCAAGGCAGGGCCTATGTGCTTCGTTAGTCATTCTTCAGTATTGAAGGAAATCAGGAATTAAGCACAATTACAAGAAAAGAAGGCAGCCAGAATCAAGATAAAAAGACGGTGGAGAAGTCTGTCTTACCCTGCAACCAATTGCTCATCGGTTGGAGGAGATGGCTCGCTGAAATGGGAACAGGACCATCAAGACCAAACAAAAACATTGTTTTTTAAAAACTATGAAAAGCTATAATGTTGTTTTATAAAAACAGTATTAAAGTCCAGCAGAAGTAGCTCCATTAAGTATTTTACCTAAGTCTCAAGCGTAGTAACTTACCAGACAAGAAGGAAGATGCAGACATTTCCATGACGGATACATAGCAAAGAGTCCCTAATGCTCAAATTCTCACACATATGTGATGGGAGGGAACAAGACCACTGTCAGAAGCAAGCACAACACTGGAAGACCTAGATCAAACCCAAGTGGCATGAAAATTCACTGGACACCTGGGTACCCGTAGCTAATCATTCCAAGAATAGGTCTCTCATCTGTATGCTAAGAATTCATCTGCACAGGACCAAGTAAGAGCCTCACAGTTTATAAAAGCCTTTTGAAAACTGCTGTGCCACATGAATTTAACAGCTCAGTTCCTGAGATACCGCAATGGCCTGCATGGCTGATCTCTCTGATCTCTGCCTGGAGCAATAACAGAGTCATGGCAGATCTGTGCACAGTTGTGCTGTAAAACATCTAGGATACTATCAGACTTGAAGAAAGAGTTTAAAATCTAATTTATGTTCCTGTGCAGAAACTTATGGTGAGACATGTTACTTTGCGAGTATCCTGGAAAAAGAAAGAAAATCCAAACATGGGAGAGAAACAACACGGGGGCCCTGCCATGAGCACTGTGCCATCCTGTTCCATGGTGCCGCAGGCTGCTGCTCCCTGCAGCTCTCACTAAGGGACACACACCGCCAAAGGCCCGTGCAAAGGAAATATACAAAAAGGAAGCTTTTCCTCAGAAGCTCCTAAACTTTCACTCACTGGGTTGTATAGTATTAAAAGGTTAAGTGTTTTGTGGACTTGCCCCAAATCACCCAGAAGGTCAAAATCCTAGAATCCTAGTTTTTATTTCCCACAACTAGACAAAGTCAGAACACAACCTCTTTACTTCCAAAGAGAAATGAGCAAGCACACAAGACTTCTAAGTGTTGGCACTGTCTCATTTTCAGGTGGGGAGTCTACCCCTTTGAGGCAGGCAGGGCCATCATCACTCAAGGAAATGTGGGTGTTTCCATGACAGCCAAATCTGGGAGCTGGGGGGAGTAAATCCCCTCACTCAGTAACCTTATAGAAAACAGGGAAACTAAGGACCAGTCTAAGGAACAAGCCAAGAGCTCAGATGGGAGGATGCAGAGCAGGAGTCAAATCTGAAACCCTGGGCCTTCACTTGTCTCAATATGCTGTCCTTCAGTATGGACACATTGGCTAGGCAAAGAGGTTGGGGGAAAACACTGCCAGTCCACTATCTACATGTGTCAACCTCAGCTAAAGGAAGGAGGAGACATGTTCTGACATTATCTAGAGGGTGTGAGGCTCTAAACATGCTGGTAGAGGTAAATCAGTCAAGAGCCTGGTGCAGTCTAAGTGTGCCAGGTGGGAGGAGAGTCAGAGTGTTGGGCTTGACTGGCCAAAGACACCACAAGAGCTAGGGCACAACTGTTCCTACAAGCTCAACCCACTGCTGCAAGAAACATGGCCAAGCTCAAAGCTCTAGGGCCCACACAATGGCAACTATGTGTTACAGAGTCGAGGTGGAACCTATAAGAGCTCTGCAAAGGTCTTCCAGATTGTGTCTAAACTACAGGAAGTTCAGAATATTCTGACACTAAAAGAGCAACTCTTCTCCAAAGTCTCTAGCTCCCCTCCTCTGAGGGGAGATGGCCAGATGGCTGCTCATAATCTTGGAGAGATACAGAAGATAGCTGCCCGTGCTGGGAAATAACCACACAAGATTTTTGGGTTAATACCAGGTGTTGTGTTTTGTATCCAGAGCCTCATGCATTCATAGGTGGGGCGTTTCAAAGGTGGCTGGGTCAAGGTGTGGTACTGAAATTAAGGGAAGGATAATGGAAGCCCCACCCTGGGGTAGGGGGCACCAACAGGCTTACAGCCTGGACGAAATAAAAAGGGACAGAAAAGAAGGTTGCTGCTGCTTCTGCTTACTGATTTGTCTCTTTGCTGCCTGCTATGGACTGTTCTCCTCGATGACGCCCTTCTGCCATGCCACCTTGCCTTGCAGCCAGCGGACTGTGACCTGCAATCTCTACAAACTGTGAGCCAAAATAAAGCTTGCCTCCTTGAACTTTGGATGTTGGATATTTTGTCTCAGCAACAAGAACAGTAAATCAGGGCCAGGGATTTAGCTCAGTGGTGCTACCGCCTGCCTCACACGCACAGTGGTGCTGCCTTGTGCCTCGCATGTGCAAGGTCCCGAGTTCAATAACCAGTACCAAAGAATATATATATATATATATATATATATATAACAATAATAATAATAATAATTCAGACACAAGACTTTTACGCAGACCTCTCAATGGCTTGTGTGGGAGCCACATGGTACACTAAGCAGTCAACCAATAGGAACCCTAGAAACTTTATGACATGAGTTTCAAGTCTTAAGAGACACTGGACAATGCCCATTTTCTCTTATCCTTACTGAATCCTAGAAAAGAGTATTTTTAAAGGGACAGAGATTTAGCTCAGCGGTGCCACCACCTGCCTGGCCAAGTGCAAGATCCCCAGTACCAAAAACAAACAAAGAAAGTTATTTTTATTTTATTTTATTTTTTTGGTACTAGGGATCGAACTCGGGTCCTTGTGCTTGCAAGGCAGGCAGCAGAACCACTGAGCCATATCCCCAGCCCCCAAAAAAGTTATTTTTAAATGTGTAACAAGGGCCAGGGATTTAGCTCAGTGGTGCTGCCGCCTGCCTTGCAAGCACAAGGTTCCAAGTTCAATTCCCGGTACAAAAAATAATAATAATAAAATAAAATGTGTAACAGTTAACTTCAAACCCTGAAACACATCTTGAGGATACATCTCATAAAATCAGCTGGCTTTCTGAATCAGTGCTATCCAACAGAACTTTCCCTTTTTTTTTTTTTGGTACCAGGAATTGAACTCAGGACCTCACACTTGTATGGCAGACGGAGGCACCACTGAGCTAAATCCTGCCCCAACAGAACTTTCTACAATGACAGAAATACCCCAAATCTGCACATTTAATGTGGTAGTTACTTGTCCCATACAGCCATGGATCCTGAAATGAGGGATGAGGGTAGTGCAACTAAGGAGCTGGACTTTTTATTTTATTTTATTTCTGTGAATTTCTTTGTAAATGGCCACACTGGCTAAGGGCTACAAGACTGAGCAACACACTTCTCTACGACAGGCTACCTCTGCTCAAAGGTTAACAGTATTTCAACCTGGCAAACTGACAAGCAGGAATATTCTGAGGGTTCCAGAAAGAAACCAATCTTAAGAGAACTAGAATTAAGGAAGACACGGGTTTGCTACATCACTGCCTTGCTTCAAAAGATGCTCTGAGCCATACGATAGAGGCAAAGCTGGGGCCTGCTAGGCCCTTGCAACAACACAGGCAGCAGGTGAAGCCATTCTTAAGTTTAATAAAAGATTCTAATGAGAAGCACTCCCTTCCCACAGTTTTCTCTTCATTATGTTAAATACTGAACTAATTCACCAGAAACATGCTCATCATCATTTCATTATAAACCTCTGGAAACTAACTCTGAAAACAGATGCTGCTGTCTCAATTGTTTCAAGAGCTCTGAATCTTTGCAGCCTGAGCCTCATGAAACTTGGTAGATGGACAGCCCTGCTCCACACTGATCTGTGGTACAGAGACAGAACTAGATGTATCTGTCCACTGTGCAGAGCAAAAGCTTTCTATGTCTCTGTGACAAACAAAGCCGTTCCAAGTCACCACCTTTAAAGGACAAGAAAACCACAGGAATCTACATCAAGACCATCCCCTGGGACAGGCAACAACCCTCTCCCCCATCTTCCTCTACCTGCCAGTCTCTCTTCCAAAGTTTATTCCCCTTGGAAACAGTCACAGGTCCTGCCAGAGGCACCAGTACCCTCACAAAAGAGGATAAAAATCACACTCTTAAAACTGCAAAGCACTACGGTAGGTACAGTGTTCTGTCAGAGAACTGGAGGTAAATAACACTGCTCGTGAAGGTACAGGTGTGAGTCTTAACTATCTTCTCCCAATTTTTGAGACAGGGTCTTGATGAGTAGTTCAGGCTTATCTTGAACTCAAGATATAGCCCAGGCTGGCCTTGAAATCGCAGTGATCCTCCTACATCAGCCTCCTGAGTGCTAGGATTACAAGTGTGCACCACCGTGCCGGGTGAGACACACTTCTTTACCCCATTCAGTCTCTGTCTGTGCTTAGAGGAACTCAGGGCCGGTAACTCATAATCTTCCTTCCTTCCCCAGCCTATGTTAATATTTGTTAATGTTTAAAATAAACATTAGGAAGACAGACATGGTTATTTAGAGTTTCTACTCTGATAGTGCCTCCCAGACAGAGCAAAGGGAGGGAACACAGGAAGGGACAGGACCAGCCTTTCATCCAGGGCTAAAGGAGTGTCAAGGGTCAGAACAGCCCAGCTCCAACCCACTGCCCTTGTCACCACCTGAGTCTGGCCACCATGAAGGGAACTGGCCAGGCTGTGCTGCATATGAGTGCCTGCATTTGAACTTTGGACACGTGCTTAAAGAATCAGGTCTGAGGAGAGAAAAGGGGTCTGCTTTCCTCTATGCTCCTCTCCTAGGAGATAAATGTCCTCCCTGGACATGGCCTCATCCATTCTCAGACCTGCTATACCAATCACACAGCCCACAGTATGTCAAGTGCCCAAATTATTCACCACGCCAGAGACGGGTGGTCCAAACCTCAATCTGCACTAACTGAAAGCACTCACTAATTGGACGAAAGCAACACCAGACAAATATCTGGGTCAACAGAAGGGCAGGGCTCTGCCCAGGCCTACGAGCAGGACTAGCCCCACCGTGGAATGACTGCAGAGTCCTTACCTGGAGTCACCGTCCTGGTCATCAGCATGGTCACCAGTGTTGTTAACAGCATATCTGCTATGTGGCTTATCTACGTGAGGACAAGAACAGGAGAATGGTTAAGAAAGAGGATCTTTACGTACACAGAAGGGTTGTGGAGCTGTCCAAATCCACAGTTTCCAAAACAGTACATCTATACAATGGAATACTGTTCAGCCATACAAAGAAACATGCATGAACCCTGAGAATATTTTGCTGAATGAAATAGACTCAACGCTGAAAGAAAAATATCACTTTTACACAAAATGTCTAGAATAAGCAAATTCACTAATACAGAGAGTAGAAGTTAACGCGGACTGAGGACAGAGGGAAGTGAGAAGTTACGGCTCAATGGTCAGTTTCAATTTAGATGGCAAACAATTTGGGAAACAATGGTGGTGACTGTACTGTATAAAGAATATAATTAATAAGACTGAATGAAATGCTTAAAATGATGACTCCTAAGTGAAATAAACTGGACACACATGTTGAAATACCGCACTGTTTCTCTTGTGTGGGAAACCAAAAGTGGAAATAAGGACTGAAGTTAAAATGGATGTTGGGAAATGGAAAGAAAGTGTTCAAATGGGAAGGGGAACGAGGAGGAGGAGAAAGGAAGGGACAAGAAAAAAGCAAAAATAGAAGGGAAAATGAAAACAAAGTTTTTATACGTAGGGAGGAGAGGGGACTCAAAGGGAGGATTTGGATAAAATAAAATTTATTTTTTAAAAATGGTTAGGCCAGGTATAGTAGCACATGCCTGTAATCTCAGCTAATGGGGAGGCTGAGACAGGAGAATCACAAATTCAAGCTCAGCTTGGACAACTTATTGAGTGCCTACCTCAAACTAACAACAGCTGGGGCAGCCAGGCGTGGTGCTGCATGCCCGTCATCCCAGCACTCGGGAGGCTGAGGCAGGAGGATCGCTGTGAGTTCGAGACCAGCCTGGGCTACACAGTGAGTTCCAGGTCAGTCTGAACTACATAGCGAGATCCTGTCTCAAAAAAATAAAAAATAAATTAAAAAGCTGGGAATATAGCTCAGTATGAGTCTCTGAGTTTAATCTCCAGTCCTGGGGAAGGGGTACAAATTTCATGTTACATACCATAAAATTTTTTTCATAAAAAAATAATTTCTGGGCCAGAGATTTAGCTCAGTGGTTTCGCTGCCTGCCTCGCAAGGACCCAAGTTCAATCCCTGGTACCAAAAAACAAAAACAAAAACAAAAAACCTGGGACCCGGGCATGGTGGTGCACACCTGTAATCCCAGCACTCGGGAGACTGAGGCAGGAGGATTGCTATGAGTTCAAGACCAGCCTGGGCTACATAGTAAGTTCCAGGTTGGTCTCAACTACATAGTGAGACTCTGTCTCAAATCCTCCCCGCAAAAAAACCTGGGTAGATATTTACAGTTTGTCACCAACGCCTTTTTTTTTTGTTCTAGGTACTGAACCCAGGGCTTTGCTCTGAGCTATATCCCCAGCCATTTTAATATTTTATTTTTGAGACAGTCTCACTAAGTCACTAAGTTGCCCAGGCTGGGCTTGAATATGTGATCCTTTTTATTTTTATGTTATTAATTTTTTTCCCTTCGTTTATTGCCACATTTAAGGCAAACAATACAGTCACATTTATCATCTGGATCTTGCACCTTTCTTTACATATGTGATCCTTCTGTCTCAGCCTCTCAGAGTACTGCGATTATAGGTGTATCCACACCCACCCCACATGGCAAAAGCCTTTTTTCGGCATGGTGAGATGCACACCTGTAATCCCAGCACTCTGGGAAGCTCAGGCAGGAGGACTGAAAGATCAAGCCCAGCGTGGACAACTTAGTGACTCTGAAACACTGTCTCACAGTAAAACTCTGTGAAACTCTGTCTCACAGTAAAAAATAAAAGGGCTGGGGATGTAGCTCACTGGAAAGGCCCTGGGTTCAATCCCCAGTACTACCAAAAAAAAAAAAAAAAAAAAAAAAAAAATCTCTTTCAAGATTATGAGGAAAAAAATTAGTCCACCCAAGAGAAAAATCAGGCAAAGGTTATGAACAGGCCATTCACTGAAAAAGAAATCCAAATGGCTCTAAAAATATAAACACATACTCTCAATCATAAGAAAATTGCATGTTAAAACAATCAGATACAGGGCCAGAGATTTAGCTCAGTGGTTCCACCACCTGCCTCACAAGCACAAGGATCCGAGTTTGATCCCCAGTATCAAAAAAAATAAAAATAAAAATAAAACAATCAGATACAATTTTCCACCTAACAGATTTTAAAAACTGCAAAATCATCCAGGCATGATGGCAACATGCCTGTAATCTCAGCACTCAGATGACTGAGGCAAGAGGATTAAGAGTTCAAGGCCAGCAAGGGTGAAATAGTGAGACCTTGTTTCAAAAAACAAACAAATAAATGCAAAGAAAAATGTATGTACTAAAAATAAATGTGCTCACTCTTAGACCCAAATATCCTACTTTTGGCATTTGATCTTACAGATATTCTGTAAAATGACAGTATATATGGAAAGGAAATTTGTACCATTTGTATCAGCAAATGATTGAAAACAACTTAATTGCCCATCAGCAGAAGACTAGATGGATAAATCACAGCATGATCAGGCCAGGGATTTAGCTCAGCGGTTCCACTGTTTGCCTCAAAAGTGAAGGGTGCTGAGTATGATATGATCCCACGTACCAAAAAAAAAAAAATCACAGCATGCTCATCTCATGAAATTCACAGCAGCCATTGAAAAGGACAAGGTCATACAGATTCTAATTCTGTATCTTCTATATGGATGCAAAGTGAAAATGAAAATAAGTAGGGCAGAACAGCTGTATGTAGTTCTTTCATTTGTGCTCTGAAAATAAAATAATGCATGTATATGGTTGTGTTTACACAGGTTCTGAAAATATGCATAAAGGATATTTCTAATTTTTGTATCAGAAAAGAATTAAAAACAACATAAAAGTCTAAATGCCTTAAATATCTAAACATCTTTAAAACCTTATACCAAGGTCAGGTGAGGTAGCACACGCCTGTAGTCCTAGCACTCAGGAGGCCAAGGCAGGAGGGTTGACATGAGTTCAAGGCCAGCCTGGGCTACATAATGAGTTTAAAGCCAGCCTGAACTGTCTATGGAGACCCTGTCTCAAAAGGCAAAAATAAATAAAGCCTTGTACCAGCCAGACAAGGTGGCTCACTTCTGTGATCTCAGCACTGCAGAGACAGGCAGGAGGATCATAATTTCGAGGCCAGCTTGGGCAATTTAGCGTGGCGGGGTGGGGGTGAGGTTCACTGAGGTGCTTAGTGTATGTTCTGGAGCTGTGGTACGCTGCAATCAACTGAATGAGGTCGGTGTATTCACTTAATTATGTGCGGTGCCAACACAGACCGTTTAGAAGAGTGCTTCAGAAGATGCTTGTGTGAATTAAAAAATAAGATCCTCCAACGAATATTTTATTTATATGCAGACACAGACTGGCTATCTTCTCAAGAGGGACAATTTCCAAATTACCAGGGCAATCTTGGGCTGAGACGGAGGGCAAGGTTAACACGAGATGCATCTGTAATTTTTCCATCGTTTTTAGGGCAATAGAAATTGAACCCAAGGCTTCCTGTATGCGAGTCGAGCGCTCTACCAAAGAGCTACACCGTCAGACCTGGAACTTGCCTTCCTGCCTCACAGCCTTCCGAGTACTTCAGATTTAAAAAGAACCAAAACGGAAACTGTCGAGACGTCACTAACAGCTGTACTGGAGGTGAATTACTAGTAGTTTCTCGCCTGCCTCCTCTTTCCTTCGCATGGACGCCTAGTGCTCGCGGCGGGCGCCGGGCGCCACTTACTTGTCCGGGACGTCGGGTGCTCCTGGTTTCTCTGGAAGGGGTACCTGAACAGCAGCTTATTGCCCCGGCTGCCCGAGCTCACCAGAATCACGCTGATGGGGCTGGTGTTATCCCCCATATTGCCAGGGCCGGCGGGGGCCCGGGGGACCGGAGGAGGACGCACAGCCCCGGGGAACGCCCCACGCCCGCG